AACATGAATCAAATATGTATCTTTATTCATTTACAATAAACTCATAAAGTACATCATTCTGATTGAAGTTAAGGGCATACAAAACTGTCTAACACTTTTTTTATAAATTTAAATAAATGAAAGGGTAAATTGCTAAAATTTCCCCTAAAGACTTTGATCATTGTTGAGACCTCCCCTAAAGTTTGGTAAATGCAATCACCTCCCATGAACTTTTTGACATAGTTGCAAGTAGATTCCCTCTGTTAGAATCCTTTAACAAGAAGCACAAAAATGTCCAAAATACCCATGTAGTTACTTTTGACAAAAATGTTTATTTCCAAATTTTTTCTTCACATCAATCACTATTTACTACCCCAAGCCCTTCCACCCTATTTTTCAAAATGGATGTATTTTCCAAATTTGCCCTACATATGAATTGCTCAGAGGTGAAATTGTAACTTTAAACTCTTTTTAGTTGTTCATAAAATTTGTATTGTTTTTTTATGTATAAACCAGCCTCAGTAATAATTGCATATTTGGACATTTTCATGCTTCTTGTTAGAAGATTTTACAAAGGGGTCTACTTGCAATTGTGTCAAAATGTTTAGAGGAGCTGATTGCAATTACCAAACTCCAAGGGAGGTTTTAACAATAGTCAGAAACTTTAGGGAGGCTTTAGCAATTACCATGGTTTGTTTTAAAAAAGAGGGATTTGTTTATCTTTTTCCTAACAAGTATTAAATAAAAAATCAAAATAACATTTTTGCCCTTGACTTGTTTTACAATTATGAACAAAAAGAATGGAGTTTTATGTCTTTTTCTTAATAAGAATTAAATGAGAAAGAAGAGTAATTTCCTAATAAGCATTAAATGAGAAAACAAAATTATATTTTTACCATTGCTCCTACTCCAATTCAAACCTTAGAGATGGGACACTTAAATCTAGTGAAAATTTCATAAGCCAACCACATCTATTCGTACCTTTATAGATAGTATAGATATTATATTATTAAAGGAAGAGAGAGAGAGAGAGAGAGAGAGAAATATTATATTATTAAGGGAAATTGTCTAAAATCCACCATGGGTTTTCAACATTTCTCTTAAATTCACCACAACTTTTCAAAATGTCTATACCATGTCAGTAAGTTTTTATTTTACAAAACTCACCTTTCGTTAATGCACCATTAATGCTTCTTAACAGAGGTTTCCATGTCAGCATAAATAACAATTTTCATGACCAAATTACCCTTGAATGGTGAGTTAGAGGAAAAATGGTCTTTTCAGTTTTCAATTTTCTTGTTTTTTTTTGAATTTTTAGTGTTTTGTTATAATTTCCAATGTTTTTTATAGTTTCTGTTTTTTTACATTTTTCTATTTTCTACAATCTATAAAATTTCATGTATTTTTTGTTATTTATTTGCAATTTCTGTGTTTTCTATAATTTTTGGTGTTTTTTCTACAATTTTTATTTTCTGATTTTGCTTTTCAATTTCTTTAGTTTCTATAATTTGAAAATAATTTTTTATTTTGTTTGCAATTTCTTTACTTTTTTTATTTTTTGTAATTTCTATGTTTTTTATGTATTTTACATTTGAAAATATTTTTTTGAACTTTTTCGTTTTTCCATGTCTAAATATTAAAATGGTAATATATTAACACCCGTTAATTTATTTGGTATATATTTTATATTTTTCTATGGAGGTTAAAATGGTAAAATATTAACACTCGTTAGCCTGTTTAACGTCAAGTTAGTGACATGGTGAGTTTTAGACAATTTCCCTATTATTAAAGAGAGACAATTRAGAGTGTGTTAATGAAAGGGAAATATTATGTTATTAAAGAGTGACAATTAAGACTGTGTTAATGTGTGTGTGTGAGAGACCATTAAAGAGCTTTAAGGTGTTACAAAATATAATTACCAAAATGTCTAAATATCATGGGCATATAGTTTTCCTATCAAGGTGTCAAGGCGAAGGGTCCCTTGAATTTTTAAAATTAAATAATTCTCCAAGAGGTCTTCCCTCCTAGCTCCTCTACAATCTCCTCTGTCACTTGAAGTTCAAGCTTGAACTTTCTCTTCCACTACATTACCTCCTTTATCATTGGAAGCTCAAGCTCCCACCGTACATTGTTTCCTATTCTTTTTTCTATCCCCCCTTTTTCAAATTAGGCCTATGTTTTCTTTCTTTGTTTTTTTTTTTTTTTTTTTTTTCCATATGTATTTAGGCTTGGATGGTGAAGATGAAGAGGATGGCATTACTAATTATCATCTATAAAATTAGACCACTAAAAAAATTTGTCGTCTTCATTTGTAAGGAGAAAAAATGACCTAACTGCATGTATTTTTATATAGATATAGGCTGAACAGAATGCATATCCACTTGTGTTTGTGATTTAACTGCATAATTCATTTTTTCAACTAACTAGATAAAGCAATTTATAAATTTCTTGTTACATAGAAATAATAATAAACCTACACAAAAATGGACCTCTATATCCATTTTATGGGAAGTGATTAACTAAGCAAGAGAGCGAGACGAAAAAGAAACCATCCAAAAGAAAAAGGTTAATTATACTTATATGTACCTTGTGGTTTTAGGGAACTATTTATATACCCTATAGTTTCAAAAGCTACTTATATATACCTTTCAAGATGGTCCCACATGGCATAAACAAGCCCTCAATTATGAGTTCGGATCTCCTGCCCACGAGAACTCTGCCCACATTTATCACAACCACATATGGAGAACATCTCATCCCCTGCATAGTATTATGCAGGGGGAGATGTTCCCAATTCATGGAGGATAGTGTATTGTGGGTAGGCGTGGGCAAAGTTCTCGTGGGCAGGAGATCCAGAGTCCTCAATTAATGAGATAATTAGCATCATTTATAGCAATCATTAAATGTTTTAATAATCCCAATTTTACCTTCCATTTGAAAATGCTATTGATCTCCTTCAAAAATTTTGACCAAAACCCTAGATTGATCTTTTTCAACCACACTTGAGCAGTGGAATGACCATGGATTTTTATAAGAGGCTAAAGAACTTAATTTAAATGCTTGACCAATGGAGATGATGACATCGTTACAATTAAAGTTGGGGAAGTTTAAAAAACTAAAGGCACAATGGAGTGAAGATGAAAGTTTGATGGTCTGGTTTGGTCAACATCTTTGTTATCTTTCTTGGGGTAAATTGCTGAAACCTCTCTTGAAGTTTTTGATCATTGTTGAAACTTCCCCTGAAGTTTAGTAATTGCAATCACCTCCCCTGAACTTTTTAATGCAATTTCAAGTAGGCTCCCTCTCGTAGAATCTTCTGAGAAAAGCATGAAAATGTCCAAAATACTCGTGCAATTAATATTGATGCTAGTTTCTACTAGGGGTGGAGAATACAAACTTTATGAACAACAAAAATAAAGAGAATTTAAAGTTGCAGCTTTACCTTTGAGTGACTGATATGAAGGGAAAATTTGAAAAATAAAYCAATTTCAAAAAAGAGATTGGAAGGGTTTGRGGTAGTGATACATATGAAGAGAAAATTTAGAAAATAAACACTTTTGTTAAAGGAAACAACATGGGTATTTTGGACATTTTGTTGCATTTTTTTTAAAGATTCTACTAGGGGGGTCTACTTGCAACTACATTACCAAACATTAGGGGAGGTTTAATTTCAACAATTTACCCCTTTTTCTTGTTCCAAACAAGGAGAAGAAACTACAAAATAAGGTAAGCACAAGATGCTCTAATGACTATATTTGGTGAGGTTGCTGTTAATGTTCAAAATGGAGTGACATCCAGGGTGTCCAATCTCTCTTTGAGATGGAACTTTTCCTATCATTCTTCTAGAATGAGTTTGTTCCTCTGGATCTCTATTGTTTATCCCTACCTCCTTTGTAACCACGGAGTCACTCAACAACAACCAAAGTCTAGTAGACTCCATAATCAAAAAGTTCCCAGACCTCTTATGGCCAGTACCATAGCAACCCGTTCAAGCAACTTTGGGGACCCAAGGATTGGAAGAACTGATTAGTATTCAAAGTTTTGACAGATAAAGACATTTGGATTGTAAGCCTGAAAGAATACCTTAAAAAAGCCTAGAACCTGCAAAGTCGGAGGAATATTTCAGATTTCATTGGAGACAGTTGGCTGGTCTGTTTCAAGTCTTTGGCAGATAGAGAAGCTATCATGAACGGAGGGCCTTGGAGCTTTAATGATGATTTAATCATACTAGAACATTGCGAAGCAAATAAATCTCCAGAGAGTTATCGTTTGGATCATGCAGAAATATGGATCCAAATTTTTGGACTTCCAGTGGAATGCCTTGCTGCAGATCGTCAGGAAAGCCATTGCAAGATAATTACGAAAGTAATTATGAAGGTATTTAACAAGACCGGAGACTAGAATTTGAAAGAGGTAATTGAGAGTGATGGGTTAGCCACCAGCTCGTGTGATATTTATATTGAAATCAGTTCTACAGGAGGTGAGAAACTACAGGTACAGTACAGGTAAGACTGGCAACTAGATAGGCATGCCTATGCCTATGATACGTGTTCAACAGAGTTACTTATCTTTATCATTATCCTCAATATGCCCCATCAAGCGAAACACTTTGAGAAGACGTGTAGCTCGGATTGAAGATGAAGAAAACATGGAGTTGGTAAGGCTTTTGTGAAAATATCAGCTACTTGATCCTTGGATGAGATGAATTTTACCAAGATTTTTTTGACAATTAAATCTCGTAAATGAAAGTCAACTTCTACATGTTTGGTGCGTGCATGAAACACCGGATGAGTAGCCAGTGTGACGTGCCGATATTGTCACACCAGGAAACCGGAGGCATCTTGGAAGGAAATCCTAGATCAGTCAAGAGGGATTGAAACCATAGTAGTTCTGTTACCAAGTTGGCCAATGCTCTGAATTCGGCTTCAGTGCTGGAGCGAGCTACAATAGCTTGTTTCTTGGCACTCCATGCGATGAGGTTGGGTCCCAAGTACACACAATACCCATCAGTAGATTTATGATCGTCTGGACATCCAGCCCAATTAGCATCACTGAAAGCATGTAGTTGAAGAGATGTCAATGGAGTGAAATGAAGACCAACATCCAATGTACTCTTGAGATAGCGAAGGATCCGTTTCACAGATGACCAGTGAGCATCTGTGGGAGCATGTAGAAAGCGGCAAACCTTGTTGACGGAGAAAGAGATGTCTGGTCTGGTAAGTGTAACATATTGCAGTGCTCCAACTATGCTCCTGTATTCTGCAGGGTTTGGAAGTGCAACACCTTGAAGTGATGACAAATTGCAGGATGTTGACATAGGAGAAGAGATGAGTTTAGCACCAGCCATCCCAGTGCGCCATAGGAGATCTAGAATATAATAGCGCTGAGATAACATCAGTCCGGTAGATGTACGGTATGCTTCTATGCCTAGAAACAAGTGTAGGGAACTCAGATCTTTTAGGGCAAAGGTGTGCGAAAGTGATGCAATGACTTGAGAGACAGTTTGAGAAGAGGACCCAATAACTAAGACGTAATCAACATAAACAAGAATAAATATGRTTTCCTGACCTCGTTGATAGAAAAACAGAGAGGGATCGGCTTGAGAGCATCGAAAGCCAAGATTGATAAGTGCTTCACTTAACCGAGAGAACTAGGCACGTGGAGCTTGGTGTAAGCCATACAACGCCTTGTGCAGTTTACAAACATGTGTAGGCTTGGTTGGGTCTTTGAACCCTCTGGGTTGTCTCACATAAATGCCTTCATTCACAAAGCCATTTAAAAATGCATTGTTGATATCAAGTTGGTGTATATCCCAGCCGTGTGAGACTGTTAACGTAATGATTGTATGCACTGTGACCGGCTTAACCACCATACTGAAAGTATTAGAAAAATCAAGTCCTGGAATTTAACTAAATCCTTAAGTTACAAGACGTGCCTTTGTGACATTCTATGGTTCCATCAGATTTACATTTAATTTTGTAAATCCATTTGGTGCCAATCACATTCATCCCCGGTTGATAAGGAACAAGATGCCAAGTGTTAGCACGATATTCTTAGTGCATAGCATGCTGCCATAGAGGATTCTTGGCTGCAATGGAGTATGTGGTCGGTTCACATTGATTTGGACTGACATCCGCAAGGAGAGTAGCTGGAATGGGGTACCGAGAAGTCATCTTGGCAAGAGAGATTGCAGAACTCATTGACCTTGTAACCATAGTGTGAGTGCATTGGGGAATAGGAGCTGGAATGGCTGGAGTAGAGTCAAGTAATTGTTGAACTAGTCTGGTGTGCTGTGGAGGTCCTAAAGTGGACGATGGACTAGAAGTGGAGTCTGTGGCAGCAGAATTGGGTGAGTGAATCGGAGAGTCTAATGGTGACATATCAGCCTCGGCAATTGTGAAGGTGACTGAAGAGGGAGGAGATGTAGCATTCATCATGGAATTGGATAGGGTATTGAGTGTGGGGCCCGTAAATGGGCCAGCTGCTCTACCTGTGGAAGAAGAGACACCATCTTTCATGAGAAAGAGAGGGTTGGGAGACACCAGGAAAATGATTCTCATTGAAAACAACATGCCAGCTGATGTACTCCTTGCCACTAGCAACATGAAGGCACCTGTAACCCTTATGAGTGGCACTGTATCCAAAAAAAATACATTGTTGAGACCGAAATTCAAATTTATGATGGTTGTATGGTCGCAGTAATGGATAACATGCACACCCAAAAATCTTGATAAAGTTGTAGTCTGGAGGGCGGCAGAATAACACTTCATATAGAGAGCGACCTTAGAGGACAGACGGGGGCAGTTTATTGATCAAGTATACGATAGTTTACGCAGCATCAGTCCAGAAGGAAAACGAGAGAGAGGACGAGGCTAGTAGAGATAGCGTGGATTCAATAATATGCTTGTGTTTCCGTACAACTGTCCCATTTTGTTCATGAGTGTATGGGCATGCCAGTTGATGTGAAATTCCTTCATAATCTAAGAACCGAGAGAGAGTGCAAAACTCCCCTTCCCAATCAGATTGAAAACTTTTGATTTTAGTAGCAAATAATCGATCGCTCCACATGTCGTTTAAAATGCAAAAAGGCATTCATGACTTTAAATTTCTTAACAAGAGGAAACATCCAAGTAAATTTGGAATAATAATCCATGAAAATGACATAATACCCAAAGCCTTTATTAGATAAAGTTGGGGTTGGTCCCCACACATATGAATAAATAAGATCTAATGGTTGCATTGAGCAAAATGAAGAAACTGGAAGTTGTTGCCTATGACTCTTACCCTTATGACACAACTGACATACAATCTTACTAATACGACCCAGACATGGTAAACTATACTTGGAAATAACTTGGCCTACTATTTTGAACGCAACATGACCTAGTCATTTATGCCATCCTGAGTAGGTTGTGCGCTCTCCAACAAAGGCAGCTGCTTTAATGTTGACTTGAGCATCTCTCGGAAATTGATAAAGGCCATCTCTACTGATTCCTCTGAGTAGGACTCTCCCCGTATAATCCTTCATAAGAAATAAGTCCCGATGAAACTCAAAATAAATATCATTGTCCTTGGTGAATTTACTTACAAAAATCAAATTCTTTGTGATTTGAGGCACATGATAAATATTATGTAAAGCGAAAGTATGTGAATGTGAAATCCTCAAACCTGATCCGTTACCAACAGTAACCTGATTTTGTCTCATGTAGTCTGATGGATTTTGTAAATTTTCTATATCTAGAGTGAGATGATGTGTGGCACCCGAGTCCGGGTACCATACTCGTATTGTATGCTACTAGATCTGATGGACTCTGTTGTTCACCTTGATAGGCTAAATCATATCGTCTTTGACAAGTGAGTGCTCCATGTCCAGGCTTGCTACAAACTTGACATATGATAGGTGAATAATTTCCTTTGCTTCGTAGACCATTGTTACCTCTTCCACCGAGGGATTGATTGAGATATCCCCCTCGGTTGCAACCTCCATGACCCCTGCCATTGAAAGGAGAGTAGCCACCACGGTTCACATTGTTTTTGGAGTTCCAATTATTCTTATTTTTCCCCTGTGTAGTCAGATTTGTTGAAGAGGAAGAATTATCAGAAATAGGTTGGTTGCGTTGTTCCAACCAAGATTCATGATTTAACAACAAGCCCATTACATCATTAATGGTAAGCCTATCAAAATCAGGCCTATTAGTAATCACCATAACTATGGATTCATACTCAGATCTAAATCCAGAAACAACATAAAGAATAAGATCTTCTTTGCCTACGGGTTCAGAGATTGCAGCCAAACTGTCAGCTATTACCTTAGCTTTAGTTATAGACTGAGACCCCTTCTTGATGCTCTGTAGTTGTTGTTTTAGATGGAGTACTCTCGACTTGGATATAGTGGAATAAGTTGCAGAGATTGCTTGCCACACCTTGGCTGAAGTGGTCAGTCCAATTATCTCTGTCACCACACTTTCAGTGAGTGACGAAATAATCCATCCCAGCACCAATTGATCAAGCTGCACCCAGTTGTCGTAGTTTGGATTCACCATTCTTCTCCCGTCTGGTCCATAAACCTCTGCTGGTGGTGCCTGCATCATGCCTTCCACAAGTCCTAACAGCCTCTGTGTTCTGAGAACAGGGATCATCTGTGCCTTTATTCTCATGGTTTAGTTTTATTGGGAGAGTGTGAGAGATGTTGGGAACTATGGATATTGTGGATCCCATAACAGACCTTAGGAGTGGGTTTGATCCACTCGTATTGGAGCTTCCTGCAGGACTGGTGACGTGGTTAGACATGGCAGATCTGAACTCTGGCGGACAAATGATTTGGGATAAGGCATTTGCGATGAAATAATCTTGACTTGCGATGGGATGAACGACTGCGATGAGGTAAAGGTCTGCGATGAAGTGAAAGGCTCTGATACCAAATTACAAAAGTAATTATATTATGAAGGTATTTAACCAAGACCAGAGACTAGAATTTGAAAGAGGTAATTAATTGAGAGTGATGGATTAACCACCAGCTCGTGTGATATTTATATTGAAATCAGTTACATATGTAATAGAGTTCTACATGAGGTGAGAAACTACAGGTACGGTACAAATAAGACTGGTAAGATAGGCATGCCTATGATACGTGTTCAACAGAGTTGTGTATCTTTATCATTATCCTCAAGAAAGATCAATTGGTAAGCCTCATGAACCCAACCCAGAGGAGGTGGATTGGTGGAGCAAGTCCGCAAGCATGAATATCAATAAGCCGTTGATTCCCAAGGTTCCTTTTACTCTTCTAAGCAACTAGAACATTTGGGACACACCATGGAAGCTTTCTCTCTGAGGTTTGATATTGAAGATCACATCAACAACACTTCAGATATTGGATTCATTGCAAGGATGAAGAAGCTCCTGGTTCCACAATATGGAGACTTTCTGAAAAGTGAAGGTATTTCAGCCTCCTATAAAACTTAAGAACGTGGGACCAACAACCCTACCAGAGATCCAATTATTGGATCCCTGTACAACTTGCCGGAAGGGAACACCAAGGCCAACTTGACGGATGCAATAACTGGGCAATAGTCAAACCCGATAACTCAACAATCAATGGTCGAAAGTCAAGGCGTCAATGGATATCTCGCCAGCTTGAAGAGACAATTATGTAGTTGGTAACGGATGGTATGGATGTTAGACCTGTTCATGGGTCGGGTATCCCGGCCCCCGAACCCTTTCCCATTTCCCTCTTTTTAACAGCGTTTTATCTTCTCGTTTTTCTTCTCATTCTCACTTTCTCACTTTCTCACTCTCAAACTCTCAGAACCGGTGAACTTAGGCGCACTGTTTTTATTATGCGAACTCAGGCACCAGCGGCCAGCACCACCAAGACTAGGTCGTCTCTCTCTCTCTCTTTCTCCGACACTGTTTTCCTCTTCTATCTTCTCACTTTCTCAGTTTTCATTCACTCTCAGACTCGCAGGAACCGACAAACTCAGGCACTGGTGCCACTAGTGAATTATGTTGTCTCTCTCTCCGGCGGTGAGTCCCCCCGCTCTCTCTCTCTCTCTCTCTCTCTCTCTCTCTCTCTCGTTAAGTTTGTTCTTAATCATCCTCATCTTTAGGTCGGACTTCGGGCTTGGGCCCAAGTTGTAGGCCCGTTGAAAATTTTCTATTAACGAAGAGCAAAAGCCCAGCCCGGCCCATGAACAGGTCTAGATGTTACCTTTGCAACGGGAGACCCATGCTTAAAGGAGACCGAAATTTGTGTCAGACATGCAATCAATTCCCCTTCCGAGGGAATTAGTGCAATGGATATCTCGCCAGCCCCAAAGCCTGTAATTGCTAAAGCAAAACGCAAAATGGGAGATTTAATGCCTGAATCAATGGGCCAACCTTCCACTTCTTATGCTGGGATCAACATGAAGAAAAGAGCAAGCTAGGTCGTTACTCTCCTCCTTTTTCAACTCTCACCACTGAATTGAAGGCCAAGAGGCCAAGAAATGTCACCACCCTAGCCATGAAGACTTTATCTTGGAACTGCCGAGGGGGGAGTAGCCCCTCAACGGTTCGTCATCTCACTAAACTACTCCAACAAGTACGTCATGATCTTTTCTCCATTTCTGAAACCCAACAGTAGCTAGACAGGGCATTAGCTACTGTTGATTGGATTGAAAAGTTTAATGGAGCTTGGTTCGCCATTTACCTGCAACTGGGAATGATCATTCTCCCATCGTGATCCATTCCCATAAAATTAATTGTAAAGGATGTTATATTACCATGTTTGAAGCTTGGTGAACTCAACAACCACTCTTTAGTGAGTTGGCAACCAATACGTGGCAAATATCCTATGTGGAATTCCAAGAGAGGTGCAAATCTTGTATCTCTTCTCTTTCCTCTTGGTATGCTGAGAACGTGGGCCAACTGGAGTCTGATATCATTTGAGTCAATGAAAGGCTAATAGAAATTCAAAGTTCTGTTTGGATACTTGACAACATCTATGAGTAAAGAGAGCTTGCTGAAACAACTAGAAAGGTTGCTTGAAATGGAGGTTCATTTGAGAGGGTGTCAATTTGGATCCAATCCAATCCAAACCTTATCAAATCGGATTTGAACGGTTCATTATAATTATTGGATTGGGCTAATTCAAGATAAATTGGTCTGTATTCTTATTGGTTTGAATTAGACCTAAACCAAATTTCCAATAATCCGATCATGAGGCCAAACCCTAGTCCAATTTGAAATCAATCAAAATTGAAAACATCACCAAATCACTTTTATGAAAGTACTTCTACAAAAGCACTTTTACAAAAATATTTTTAGAAAARCACTTTTATAAAAATAATTTTACGAAAACACTTTTATACAAACATTTTTTTACAAAAGAATTTTTACAAAACACTTTTATAAAAATACTTTTACAAAAGCACTTTTAGAAAATCACTTTTATGAAAGAATTTTTACGAAATCACTTTTACAAAAATACTTTTATGAAAGCACTTTTATAAAAACACTTCTACGAAAGTACTTTTACGAAAGCACTTTTCTGAAAGTACTTTTATAAAAGTGCACTTCTACAAAAGTAAATTTATAAAAGTCTGGAAGTACTTTTCGAAAAGTGCTTCTATAAAAGTGCTTTTGTAAAAGCATTATGAAAATATTTTTATCAAAGTACTTTTAGAAAAGTGTTTTTTCAATGCTAATAGTGCTTTAATATAATTTTTGAAATTTCATTCGGTTTGGATTGGATCCAATCCAATCCATTTACATTTTAATGGATTGGATTGGATTTGGTTTGTATTGGATTTGGACTGGATTGGGTCCAGTCCATTTATAAGTGGACTCACAATGGACTAGATCGGGTTGGACCAAATCCGTCCAATTGACATCTTTAATTGGCATAAGGCTAGAGATAATACCAAATTCTGTTACCCCTGTGCCTCTAATCGCAGAAGAAAGAACCATATTTCATTGTTAAAAAATCCGGATGGAATCTGGATTGATGATCAAGTTTCCATTGAGGCTATGATAAGTAATTATTTTTCTGATTTATTTTGCTCTTTCAACTCAAATTTATCTTCACTCACAGAGGAAGTCATCCATCTTCAAATTTTTGAGGAGGGGATAATAATTTTTATCTGCCATTCCTTTTGAAGAGAAAATCAAATTGGCTTTGTTTGATATTGGCCCAATGAAGGCCTTGGGCCTAATGGAATATCATCCTTGTTATATAAAAAATGTTGGTTCATGATCCATGAGGAACTGATACCTTTCATTCAGGACTTGTTTGTAAATCCTCAAAAAATCAAATCCATTAATAACACAGTAGTTCTCATTCCAGAAAAACAAGGAGTGGAGGAAGTTTTGGACTTTAGACCCATTGGGCTCACAAATGTCACCTACAAGATTTTCACTAAAGTGATTACTCGTAGATTGAAGTTCTACATTTCTTAGCTACTCACTCCTATTGAAAATGCATTTACTCCAGGTAGAAATATTTTTGACAATAAAGGCATTGCCTTAGAAGTCATCAACTCTTTTAAAAACAAAAAAGGAAGACATGGAGATTTTCTTCTCAAGATAGACCACTCCAAGGCTTATGACCGTGTGGAGTGGAACTTTGTGATCAAATGCCTATAGATTAGAGGCTTCTCACCTTACTTCCACTCCCAGAAAAATCACCTACAGAGGCAACAAAAAATGCCTCTAAAAAGAATTAGAGGCACATCTGATAAGAGCATCCAAAAATGAGATATTGAGGCACATAATCTTGCCTCTAAAACACTGACGCTAAAAGCATTTTACAGAGGCATGTATGAATGCCACTATACATTTTAAGGGGCATTTTAAAWAAATTTGAGTCATATTTATTTGTCTCTAAAAGTGATTTTAAGAATCCTATTTAAGCTTTATAGTAACACTTAAAACTAACACTAAAGTATTATTTGGTCATATTGAGAGGCACTTGTGACTGCCTCTAAAGATCATTTATTTGTGCTTTGAAAAAATGTTTTATTTTATGCAAAGCTTATGTAAACCTATATACAAACATTTAATTTGTAATCTAAAACAATTCATTCACATATCTATTAAAAGATAACCATTGTTTCTAAATATTATTTCATATTAATTGATACAAATTTAAAGAGAAAAGAACAATCTATCTACAAAAACATATGGAATAAAAAATACAAAAAAAAAATCACTTCCTACTCTAAGAAAGGAAAAAATGTATTTGATCTCAACACCATCTGCATTCTCTTTCTTCTACAATCTGCAAGAAAAAAAATAATACAACAAAAAACAAAAAAAAATAGTCAAATTAATAACTATAATTTTTCAAAAGCAAAAGATCTTTAACCATATAATTACATGTATATTGCATGATTCTTACCTTAAAAACTCCATTTGGAAGGTAGCTTATTCCTAGTCTTGCATCAAAACCTTAAATTCATACCCTAGTATATGTCAAAGTAACTTTCCATACCTTCCTTGTAGTTAAAACTTGAAGCCAAAACTTCCCATTCTTCCTCTATTTCCTAGGCTACAGCCATTGAAGGCTTAATTTGAATATTTCAAGGAGATTGGGAAGGATGAGATATCATTGTCAAGGCTTTTTATTGAGATATCATTCAACAGAAAGCATCTCTATTGAAAAGTTTATTGATGTTTCTTTTGGTGAATAAGTTTTTAAGAGGTTATGGGGTTTGTCCATTATTCTATGGGGTAGAAGCACTTCCACAGAATCACAAAGAACTATTAAGATGTTTATTGAAAATAAATGAATTCTGAGGAGCCAAGGAAGCTTCTTTAGGCTGTGTTTGGTTTAAAAGGAAAGATAGAGAAACCTATACTAATCAGGGGTACTAGTTGCCTAGGTAACACATTGACAACCATACAGAAGTTCCAGTAACCATATCATAGATATCCTGGAATATTGTTTCTTGAGGAACATAATCACAGATTAATCTGGGTGGAAAATAATTATGAATACCACACCAGATAAATGCATTCTATGGGTTAGCCTGTATTGTCATTTTTTAATGGAAGACTAAAACACCAATTTAATGAGTTGAGCATCCCATCATATGTTTGATTTTCTCCATAAAACCAAAAACTTCAAATAAATTGAAGAAAAAGAAAAGAAAATATACTCATTTGAGTTGTTAGTGTGGGAGATAAGAGGATGGAGAGGATTGAAAGTGAAAGAACAGGAAAAAAGAGAGGAGAAAATGGGGAAAAAGGAAAAAGAAATGGATGGCATTTCTAGAAGTGAGCTAGAAAATAGGACATGGTGATGATAAATAGGACAGTAATGACATTTGGCTATTAAACTACATACTGAAACTTGTGTAATCAGATGGTCGGCTTTGGATGGATAATGAACCACACGTCTAAGATGGTGAGGTAATGTTTATTAGGAGCAAGTGATGATGGTGAACTGATYTATAACAG